CGTTGATGATGATAAAGATGAATATATATATATATATATATATATTTTGATTTTAAATAATAAAAAAACTTTCATGCAAGTAACTTTTAAAGGTTTTTTTTGTAGTGGCTGTGCGCTTTAGCTTGGCTCAATTTCAACCTCGATGGACAATAAACAAGTCTATAACGGCTTAAGATTTAAGGATGTGGGCAATCACAAACTTGGCCCACTTTTGAATTGGAAATAAAGGCTTTTTTTCTTTACAAATATTGGTACACTCTTTTATTCATATTTCATCCTATCTCTAGATTTCTAGTTGTATTGTATTTAAATGAATGTCTTCATGTATGAACATGATTTTACACTTTAATGTGTATGTAGCGAATTTTCTAACTGATGAATCAGGATTTGTGTATTTTTCACAATATATTTCTTTAAGTGCAGTTTAAAATCCACAGTGCGCGAGCAAGGATTGTACGTTTTAGATTGAATTTTTGTAAACTCGAACCGCTGCTAAGCAGTCGGCTAACGAAAACATGGTCAAAAAAGACACAAGAAATGTCGCGTGATGAGGACGCACGATATAGTAGGATGCAAAGGGTAATTCCACCGCACAGCTGTTAAAAATAAGTTTATGATGGTTTAAAGGGAAGCTTCAACATATAGAAAGTTCGAAATAAGGCTCAGTTTCAAGGCTTTTCTGACCTCGTTTGTATATGTACGATTGCAATCGTAAATAGCAACTTTCTCTAACAAGGACATACATATGTCACGTAAAATATTATGAACAAACAAGTAATTCGGATGAAAACACAAACACGGACTCACGTAAAGAAGCAGGTATATTCTTATCCATAAGTCTACAAATACGCTGTGCTGCATTTCACAATTCGAATGGCATAGCCGTGAATTGATAAACGCGTCTCCCAGGCACTGTAAAAACAGTCTTCTCCCTGAACTTCTTTCCGAGTGGTATCTGTCAGATCGCATCTTTCAAGTCAATGGCAGAAATGAGTATTTCGCAATCAGCTTAGGACGCCATCTATATGCGGGAATGGATAAGCATCTTTTAACGTCGTTTTCTTCACTTTTTGGACACCTAAGCACAGTGTATTTATTGATCAGCGACATCGGTTAATTCCAACTACTGTTTCTTTAATCTGTCACACCCATATCCAACATTCTATCCAACTCCGCATATATGAGTTTATGCACTGCTAGAGATATAATATAGAGCCTTCGTTTCTCTGGGAAGTTTTCGTTCACGACATTCACAACACTTATGCCAAATGCCTGCCAGAAGTCAACTTCTAGGTATAATTTCTGTTGAAGCCGACGAAAAATAAAGAACTCTTAATGTTTGGTGATGTTATTTCAGAGAAATCGATGGCAGCGATTAAAGTGTCACAATTTACAACAAGGGGCTTAGATGAGATTGACTTAAGGCAGAAAACATACGGACATTATTCGTTTTCATAATAACCTGGCTTAAGGTAACAGCACAAAAAAGTTTCAAGTACAAGAAATTTGAAATAAATTTAAATTATCAAAAAAGCAAGGAGAAGTTTAAATTCGTTCCATAAGCTTAAAGCATATATTTATTAATATTTTCTATATATATCAATAATCTGAATATACATATGTATATTCTATATACACTGCGCGTCATCAGGTTCGTAAATGTTGTTGTTTTTTGTTCACTGATATTCTGTCCCTTGTTGTGAGAAAAAAAGAGCGCATGAGAAGAACCGTTATCTTTTTATTTCTGCTTTGCCTTAATTTCGATGAAAAAGCTAACACGTGTTTTGCATCATCAGATTAGCGCCTGCAAATTCAATTGTGATTATCTGCCTTAATTTGAAAAGCACAGCAATAAATTTTTTTACGGTGATTAATTCAAAAGTTTAAAATAATTTTTTGTAAAAATGGGAAGAGGAACGGTCCTATCTTTGGAGGAAAAATCTAAAATCACAGCTTTCTATGAATACGGGCTCTCCTTTTATAAAATCGCTGAAAAAACCGGTAGACATCGCAAAACCATAGCCAATTTTCTTCATAACAAGGATACCTATGGAAAGAACTTTAAAGGTGGCAATAACCGAGTCATTACCGAGGCAGATCGCAGGATAATACTCCATCCAACTCCCACGACGCCTCTACCAAAATCCGTGAAAAAAGTGGTGTTAACGCGAGCAAATCAACGATTCAAAGGGTGTTAAAGAACGCTGAACATTTAAAGAGACAGAAACTGAAGAAAAAACCACCTCTTAATAAGTTGCAAAAAGAAACACGCCTTGATTTTGCTCGTACACACATGACATGGTCGAAGGAGTGGCAATACGTCGTATTTTCGGATGAGAAGAAATTTAATCTGGAGGGACCAGACGGCTATTCTTACTACTACCACGATTTGCGTAAAGAGGAGCATCTTTTGGACCGTTTACACAGTCGGGTCGGAGGTGTTATGGTATGGGGCGCCGTATCCTATTATGGTCACTGCGAATTGCAGTTTTTAACACCAAAAATGAACGCGAAAGACTATAATTGCGTATTAAAAACGGCATTCCCGTTCTTTAGAAATCTTTTTGGTAATCTGGAATGGCATTTTCAACACGACAATGCCCCGATCCACACCGCCCACACTGTAAAATCATGGATTAGAGAAGAAAAAGTGAAAGTCCTGGAGTGGCCCCCATACTCCCCAGACCTTAATATAATAGAAAACGTATGGGGATGGTTGGCTAGGAAGGTGTACGAGGGTGGTAAACAATATTCCACTAAAGAAGAATTGATCACCGGGATAAAACTCGCATGGTCAATGATTTCCTTGGACTACCTTCAAAAACTTTATGAGTCACTTCCCAATCGAATGTGTGAAGTCCTTGTTAACAAAGGAGGGACAACACATTATTAATTAGCTTCTAAAATATTCATATTAGTATTTAAAATTGTTAAGTTTAACATTTTTTTCAAAATTAACTGAAAATACTCATATTATCGTAGGGGGCGCTATCCTGATGACCCAATTTTGATTTACTCATTTATGAATTGTTTTTCTTTATTATTTATATAAAAATCCATTTAAAACCATTTGCATTGAATTTTGTCTTTTCATTTTAAAAATTATTGAAATTTTCTGGAAAAAAAATTTGCATAGCTCTAGCTTAAGCAGTCTGCCAAATATTTCACATCAAAGAAGCATGTACAGGGGGGCGCTAACCTGATGACGCGCAGTGTATATAAAAGTGAATTGCTGTTCATTCGTCCCGCTAAAACTCGAGAACAGCGTAATGGACTTATCTTAATTTGAACTTGAAATGTTCGTGGAGGTCTAGGAAAATTTTAAAAGCAAAATAAAAAATTCGAATCATTTGGCTGAAAACTCCTAAAAACAGGCCCTTTCTATGTTATACATAAAAATTCCGGAAAAAGCGGATTCACTTGAAATTTGGTAAATAGGTGGCTTTTTGCTAAGATTAACATAAAGGCTCTGGGTGCGTTCCAAAACGTCAGTTTTGCAACCATACATTGTCACGGATTCCTAAATGTAACTGTGCAAACTTTAACGATATATCCAAAATGCATCGGTAAAATTATTGATGCGCAAAAAAGGCAAACTGCGCATCGCTAAGGTTTGTGATGCTTTATTTTATCATAAAGTTTTAGCAGCAACGGCCAACGTTGGAGCGCAAGTTTTTTGCGCTAATTTTTTTTAAACGTTATAATAGTTATTTATTTGATCTGTTTCATATTTAAGCCATTTCACCGAAAAGAAACTTAATTGCAAAAAAAAAGCGTTCCAAATTGTCAGATTTTGCAAAAAAATGTTACGATTCAGATTTATAGAATGCAGGGTTGCATTGGGTTGTCTAACTCGCTGAGTTCGACCTCGTTTTCTATCCGGGAAGTGGACCAGAGACTGACCTATTCAAAAAAAAGTTTATTTATTGCTCAAAATACTTAGAATTCGTTACATAGAAGGCATTTTGCTTAGATTAAAGGGAAGACTTCATTTCTGTCCGGAAACTCGACCAGTGCAGTCCCTATTCAAAAAATCTTATTTATAGCTCGATCAACTTAAAATTCGAGATGAAAGTGGATCAGTGACTGACTTATGCAAAAAAATCCTACTTACTGCTCGGTTTACTTGAAACTTGGTACATCGGTGGGATTAATACTGTTATTCTCTCCGGAAAGTGGAACAGGTGTGACCTTTTCAAAGAAATCTTAATTATGACTTGATTTATTTGAAATTCGATACATAGTTCTCTTTGTGCTTTGGGTAACAGGAAGGCTACACTTCCTTCCGGAAAGTGAGTCATGGACTGACCTATTCGAAAAGAAGTTTATTTATAGCTGGATTTACTTGAAATTCGGTACATCGGGCGAGCCGGTGACTTGCCGATTCAAATAATCGGGCTGTTCCTCTCCCCAGGAAGTGGACCAATGTCAATGGTTAAAGCAAAAATGTACTCGACCAAGTATTGAGTAATTAATGTTATGATAAAAATATATCCAATGATTAATTTCTCCTACATTGAGTATGCGCCACAGTGAAGCATTGCAGGGTACAGCTAGTACTTAAATAAAATTATGCAAATAAATACATATACCTGTCTTGATTCGCCCCTGGGGTGTTTGAGTATCACTTTGCCCTAATGGCTCTTCTGTAGGAAATAGTCCAACGGAGTCAAATCATTGAGTGTGCCAATACTTTTGATTGGTGAAAATTAGTACTATTTTTGTTTTACAATAGGTATTAATTTAACATAAAAGATAATCAAATTAGTTGAAATGAAAATAGATTTATGTCTCCCTGTCTAGCATTTTTTTTCGGAATTAAAATAATGTTATTAGTGGTAAAAAAAGTGTTAAAGTTGAACTATCTTGCTGTGCCAATACTTAAGTTCGTAACTGTACCCATATCGAGGTAAGATGAGTTAATATGATATTATAGTTTATTTCTCGTTATTTTATTTTCAATAGTCTTTTAATTCTACTTTTATTTGATCTATTTTTAGGCTTGGAGTATCCATATACATCAAATCTTTTTAAAGGAATCGACGAAAATGGAAATGTAATATAGGAAAGAAATAATTGTAATTATGACAACAACACCTTCCGTCGCGATCGGGTCACATCTTTCAGTAACGTCTCCAACTGTAAACGTTTGTCCGTCCAACATGATGCCATTACAGCGGATATCAACATCTTCACCCACAACCACGAAGTCGTCTCCAATATCTACAGATATAAATGAGTTATCGGCACATTCTAGCGCACCGGCACAGCTTCTTTTTAATAGACTTGTTTCAGTTGACCTGTCGCAACAGCGAAATTCTCGTAACTTGCTTGTGGAGGATCAACGGACGTTACAGCTCGCCTTGGAACTATCTATAGTAGGTTTAAATGATGCTGTCGCACTCCACGAACCTTTAAACTCAAATAACAATTGTAATGAGTTCAATTATCATGGGCAACATTATCAACAAATTTCTATTTCAAGAGAGCAAGATGAAAAGATGTGTGAAAAATTTGATATAAATACAATGAAAGGTATTAAAACACCTATTCCTGCTGTATCCAACAATGTGAATACTAAAGGTAATAACATCGGACTTACACCAATCGACAAAAGTAGCAGAAGTAGCAGTGTAACATTCAATCAGTTGTCAGTGTCGAACCCAATGCTAGTTACAACACTAGAAGATCGCTCAAAGAAATCCCAAAATATGACTGAGTGTGTACCAGTTCCAAGTTCAGAACATGTCGCTGAAATCGTCGGACGTCAAGGTAGGCAATCTTTATTTTTAACAACCTGAAACAAGAGATCATAATTTACAGTCAAAGACAAAAGTTTAAATACACCTATAAAACTCCACTTTTTATTAAAATTACACGTCTTAGAGTAAATGTAAGAATGCAGTTTTTTAAAGTAGATAATTAATCAACAATACAACCCAAAAAAATATTCAAAGTCGTGTAGATATCGGTAAATTCAGTAAAAATATGAAATCACACGGGACAAAAGTTTAAATACAACCAAAGGAAAATTCTCATCACATGCGCTTCGCAAGTTCTTTCGAAATAAGGTACCGTTATATTCAATGATTTAGCAACTTATACACATTTACTCGGTATTAGAACCGACCTCTTCTCCAACAGTGAGATTTGCTACTTTCACTTTTTTTGCCACTAATTTTTCTGAAAATTATGCAAAGTCCAATATCTGAGAAAAATAAGCAGCTTCGTCTTTATTTTCAAATGAATACAAGAATATGGATGAATGCGTTTAGAGAAGATTTCTGTTTACGGGCGAATCGAGATTTAACGTGTTCGAAGTGTAGCGTAAAAAATTGGCGTAAAGAAATGACAGCTTATCAAACCCAAAATTTAATACACGCCGTTAAGCACGGTGGGGATGGTGTAAAGGTTTGGGGAGCGATTGAAGCAACTGGCGTAGGATATTTAGCGTCGTTTAATAAATAATGAACACATATGTTTACAAAATGATTTTGGATCAATATAGGCAGTCTTCCATTCACTCCTTGGGTCTCGAAAGAACGCAGATATTTCAACAAGACAACAGACCAAACCATATAGCGGGTTTGGGGAAGGAATGACTATTGTATTATGCTCCTCGTCAGCTTTATAGTCCGCCGCAATCATCAGACTTTGTACTGACTTTGGGGAGTTATTGGCACAAAAAATTGCTATGGCCACTTCAACCAGCAAGTAAGCCTTGGAAGAATTTCTGAAAAAGGCTTAGTCTAATATTGCGTAATAGTAAATAGAAAATTTGGTTATATCTTCCCCACGTCGTCTAAAGGCAGTTATAGAAGCTTGAGATGAGCCTACAAAGTATTAAAATTTTTTAAGCCTCTTTATTTTTAGTTTAATTTAGTCAAAATTGTATTGTATTTTAACCTTTTTCCCGCGTGATATCATGTTTTTAATGAATTTACCGTTATTTACGCGACCTTGAAAGTTGTTTTGTATTGTATTGTTGAATAGTTATCTACTTTAAAAAACTGCATTCTTATATTTACTCTAAAATGCTTAGTTTTAATAAAAAGTGTAATTTTATAGGTGTATTTAAACTTTTGTCTCTGGCTGTATGTCGCTATTAATTTCAATAATTGCAACACGTTTTAACGAGGCTTTCCGTGAAGCTGCTACGACTACATGAACTCTACCTCCTGTTCTAGCTATTTAAAAAGATTGACTTTTATAGTTTTGAATGTTAGCCTGGCCAGGATTGCAAGTCACGATCCTATGGTGGCCTCCCAGACATACTTTTATTTATGATCAATTCCAGTTCGTTTTAGAGTTTATTAAGAACAGGGCTAAAAATTTTCTGATATGTAGATACAAAAATGTTGAAATGGGAGTGAATAGTTGATAACCATATTCTTAAAAAATATCACCATACATCTTTTCGCTGCAAATAGGAGCAAAACGTCTGCGGTAAACGCGCATAGAACCATAAATCGTTCGTCAGCCTGTTCTTTAGAAGACCCTCAGGGCCGCCTAATCGTCTGTCGACATCGCGCACGCTTCTGCAACATATAGTAAGTCGGAACTGATAGGGACCTATTTGTATCATAGACGAAATTATCTACGACCTCGAAGTTATGGCGTGGAGGCTGAGTGGGGAACGCAAAGATTTTATATTTGATGGCAGGAGTTATTTCAAACTAATCTTGTCCGCGTTTACTACCAGGCGCAGGCGCTTCGCTTTTTTATCAAGCTTCGCGAAGACACAACCAACTGCCCAGTTTTCAAGGCTAAAAGGTGCCCATAGTATTTTGTTTATTTAGCTCTGTAGCTCTTACTATTTTCTCCAGCATCAAATTGCGAAAACCCCTTGATATAAAGATCATCCTGTTTGAAATCCCGTTTGTTACCGAACGGCTCAGAGCTGTCTGACGATCGTACTGGTGCAGTCCACCGTCAATATCTGATCAATGGTTAACTAAACATGTCTAAAGCCACACTGTTTCCTCGACCAAGTATGTTCTAGTCATCGGTCGTCATATTTCCACATTGGTTTCTACCTGAAAATGCTGCTGTTATAAAACTTTCGGTAAGTCTCCGTATATTTTCTCTCTTTGTCTGCAACTGCGTTTTGCTTCCCTCTTCATCTGTCGGTATCTATATCACCCTGCACGTGCAGTTATTGATCGTTCCAGCTCTTCTTCTGACTCTGCGAAGAACCATTTATTTCTGCAGCTGCCAAATGCGGCTGAGCACTTTTAGAAAGAATTGTATTTCAATATGTAATGATTCTTGATGTGCATTTTATAGTTAAATCGGAAAATACGCATATGCATATGAAGCGTGAGGTATGGCTTGCCAATTTATCTAGTTGCTGACTTTCTGTATTCAATCGATATTTTCCCGGTTCCGCGGTTTGCACTAAACTGCACTTCTAGCCTTCTTGACTACTTTATAATTTCTGGCTTGACTACTGTCTTAAACTTTTACCAATTAACTTTTATATATGATAATGATCTCTCTGCTGCTGGGGCATAAATATCGATGGTTGTTAAATAATTAAAACAATCTCATCTAGAGATTTCCGCTCTGTCTACGCTAGTTACCTAATTTCTGAATTGTACGGTGAAGACTAAAGTGAGTGTTGGGTATGCTCACCTACCGATAAAAAAATTTAATTTCTTAATAGGAGTTTTAAGCGACAAGTTGTCATAGGTGAAAAACGAGCATAACAATAAACGACTTGGTCCATTTGCACCCATAATCGAGAGGATGTACTCTCTAAAAATCACAGACGACATTCGATCCAACATGAATCAAAAACAACTCACCCTGTTTTGTTTACTGGACTTCAAAAGCGTTTGACATTGTTAACCTTAAGTTATTATAAATTTGAAATCGTTAAAAAGTAAGTGAAAATCCTTTTTCGATGTCCATACATCAACACGTTCTGAACAAAAATTTTGATAAAATCCATAAAAACAAGAAATTTTCAATTATTTTTATTAAAACTCTATGTTTTCTTTAAAAATTGTTTTAGTAACAATAAGCTAAACTAAGAGAAATAATGAGCATGAAAATACCCTTAATTTGATATTTAACATGCAATAAAAGTTTTCTTAAACAATAGCATATTCCCGGAACGCTTCAACAACTCTTTTGTAAGTTGTCGACCGCGCTTTGGATTGTAACCCTGGGCCGAACCAACACCGGCCACGCTTTGCACAGTATTCCTGAGTGAAATACCTTTGCGAGTTAGGCAAACACGAGTATGAGCATGGTTAGTGCTCGTTAATTGCACAATTAAAACGATAACATTCGCGCTACAAAGTGTGATACACCAGATTAAAGGTATTAATAAATTCTTTTTAAGTAATATTGTTTCAAAACTGATTTAATACATGAAATTAAAAAAAAAATATTTATCAATAAAAAAACACAGTTTTTTTGTATTACCAAATTTGGTGTAAAACTTTAGAGATTTTTTATATCCTTAAAATCCTGAAATCAGAGCAGACCACGACCATTAGTTAAATTTGTCCTAGATTAACGGCCTGTACTCTGCAGTTTTTCCTGAAAAGCTACCATGTTGACAGGTTTCAGCTGGTAAAAGTTAAGGATGATCACGACTCAAACTAGTTACATCAGAGGTGCCTCAAGGCTCCATCTTTTTGTCCGCTACTTTTAAACATATTTATTTATGACATTTTTAGCGTGTGTGGAAAACGTCGCAGTATTACATTTCGAGCTGGGCGGCTGCCAGCGGACTAATTTTAAATTATAACAAGTGCTGTGTGTTGCCAATCTAGGCTGAAAACTGGCTGATTAGAATTTTCTGCCTCCAATATGCATAGACATGTTTCCCTTAAAATTATTCAGTAAGATTAAAAACTTAGGATTTATTACTAATGGTGAGTTACAAGACGTCAGTTCCAAAGCAACCATATTTTCTCAACCGTTCCTCAATGCAACTGTGCTAACTTTGACGATGTACCACGTTCTAAAATCCATGGGTAAAGTTATTAATGAGCAAGCAAAAGCAAACTGCGCATCGCTAAGGTTTATGATACTTTATTTTATCATTAGTTCTTAACGACAATGTTTTGCGCTAATTATTTTTTTCAAACACTTTATTAGTTATTTCTTTGATATGTTTCATATTTAAGCCATTTCTAAGCTGCGTTTTGAAACTTTTGCACGAAAAGCATTCCAAAATGTCAAAGTTTGTAAACTATTCTTGCATGGCAAATTTATTGAATGCAGGGTTGCATTGCTTTACAACTACATCTTTACAAAGCAGTTTTACGGTTTGGAACTCGCCCCAATTCTAATCTTACTTGTACGGATCATGTAAATTCAATTCTTAGTAAAGGCTATGTCATTTTGAGAAATCTTAGGCAGTAGGCTCTCTTTACACCCTCTGCTACCAGACATTGACTTGCTATGCAAATTATTCTTTCAGTAATCATGTTTACCCCGCTTAAGGACATATTAGTCACCGACGTCACCTAACGGCAGATCCAGGAAACGTGCTGTTTCGACGGACCAGAGAGAGAAGTGGCTTAGATGCGTCGGATAAAGGGGCATGTGAAGAGGTGGTTAGTTTCGTGCAGACTCTGGGTATTCTGAGCTCGAGCTCGTTGTCTGCAACAGGTGGTGCTTTTTTTCTGAGCACGCCGTTCAGGGGAAGAGAGTCTTTGAAGGTGTTGACTAACTCTTGGTGAATGACCTTCCCTTTCTGATATGACTAGGTTGAGGTTCATTCTATAAGATGCCTATTGAGATGCTCCCTACGG